ATCCGCACCTTGCAAGAGTGAATATAGGACAACTTTGACACCATTTCACAATTCCACGCCTTCTTCAATGACATGTTTGTGCGACTATGATATGTGGTGGTTCAGCTGGTCTAGTGTGTTTCCTGGTTGCATGAGCATTTATTGGTGATGTTGTAGGAAGAGCTGACTACAAGAGGCTGAATTATCCTTGCGACAGAAAGAAACTTGCCGGTGCTCAGCAGGGAATGCGGGAATGGCCCTTATACTTATACACCATCCCTTGTATCTGGAATCTCTGGATTCATTCCCTCATTCCCTACTGAGCAGCAAGCAAGACTATCCACCAATCAAACTTTTGAGGGCTCTGACGGTTGCCCCAGATGTGCAGAGTCCCAGAGATGCAAGGAACGTTGAGGAGACTTCGCTGGCAGAAACTTGTCATACGCAAACGACACATATGTTTGATTCGGATGCGTACGATGCTCCAAGTATGTCTTTACAAAGGATTGATAGAGGCGATAGTCAAGCCTTCAACATGTACATTTGAGAAGCGCTGCAAGAGCTGCAAATTAGTACATCAAGTCTGTATTGCGAAGCCGCGTTGTAGACAAAGACCTTTTATGATGTTGACGTTGAACGCTTGCAGCTTGCTCCGCTTGGGAACCAAGTACAGCATTCGAGCCTCCAATCATGCTACTTTTGCTGTGCAAGTTGTTCTGGTGGGTCGGGGAACCGTGATGATTGCAACAAGGACTACAAAAACATAGTTTATCTTAAGAGATAGCCCTTACCTTTGGGGTACAAACTGCATTTCCCGGCCCACCATTTTGTTTGCTTATGAACTGGGCCTGCGCCAACGTCACCGACTCAAATAGCTGTTAGGTGGTCTTCTTTCAGCACCATCTACAACTGCCCCTCCTTGTTTAACATGCCCTGGAACCCCAAACGCCGTAGTTTAGGAAGAGCTTGCTTTTGGGGATTGGGTCTACGTCAATGTGGTCAGTACTTTACACGGGGTTGTCTCAAAATTATGCGTTGGTTTTGCTTTGAGTGTCCCTTTAGCGCACGCCAAAGAAGCACCGTCAGCAAAGTTGATACACCCATATGCCTCATCCCGGGCTTCCTCAAATGTCAAAAGCAAGGACCCCCCCTTTTCACGCTTTGTTCTTTCGGCAAACCAAAAGAAAAGGAAACCCTTGCCATCTTTGGTCCAGTTTGAGAAGCACCCTCAGGAAATTCCCTCAGGCGCAGCTCCTTTCCGAGCGGGACCGGCAGCCGGGAGCCAAGGAGTTGGGGGCGCCGCTGGCTGAAATCTTTGAGACGGAACCTGGGCATTTCGAGCATTCATATTGCTGTAATACCATTGTGAATAGTAGTTGTCATAGCAGTAGCAATAGCAGCAGGAGGAGCAGGAGCAGGAGCAGCAGCAATGGTAGAAGTCGTACTAGTTGTAGCAGTAGTAGTGGTGGTGATGGTGATGCTGATGGGCGTGGTGGTGGTGGTGGTGGTGGTGGTGGTGGTGGTGGTGGTGGTGGTGGTGGTGGTGGTGATGGTGGTGGTGGTGGTGGTGGTGGTGGTGGTAAGTAGTAGAACGAGTAGGGCCAGTAGTAGTAGTAGTAGTAGTAGTAGTAGTAGTAGTAGTAGTAGTAGTAGTAGTAGTAGTAGTAGTAGTAGCAGTAGTAGTAGTAGTAGTAGTAGTAGTATTAGTAGTAGGAATAATAGTAGTATTAGTCGTCCCAGTGCTAGTCATAGCAGAAATAGCAGCAGCAGCAGCAGGTCTATGTTCAGTATTCCTGGCGAAATGAAAGGGCAGACAAAGAATGAGCTAGTGCTGTTTGCGTGCTGCCAGTTGTGGAAGTGCAGATTCACAAGACAGTTCGTAGTTCGTGATTCGTATGTTTCGTGTTCCGGGATTAATGGGGATTGTAGTCCACTCCTTGACGGGGCATTTGGATGTCTAGCGTGAGGAATCATGAACATGCCCATAGTCCTCAAATCTGTGTATCGCAGCATTGTTGGTTGAGAACATCCCCGCAACCACCCCTAGACAGGCTCTGAGTTATTGTTGTCATGTAGGAGTGCAAACATGAATGCTCGGTTTAGCATTTTAGGTTACAACCACGGTTAAAAGAGCCATCTAAATTGTTTCTTGTTTGAGGCAAGTCTTTTGACATGCTTTGGGGGCGGGGTGACAACAAGCGCGAGATGAGCAGGAGACTTGCTAGTCAGCTATAAGCAATCCTTTCCGTCCTGTCCTTTATAGACCACCCCACGAGCGAAGCTCAATTGGAATGCACTTCCGCCGAAGCAGAGATTGGTGAAAGTGGATAGCTTTTTTTCTGGCATGCGGTTGAAGCAGCTGTTTCTTTTTTGCCGTGCCAGGCCTTGGTTCATTTAAGCAGAATGAAGAAATTGACAGGCATTCTCTAGAAAGACGTAACAAGGTCAGAGTTTATTTCTTCCAGTCGGAGGGTCCGGTGGCTTCACCAGGCTCGGCCAGCTCAAAGAACAGCTGCACCTGGCGGCGGGCTAAGAACTTCGGTGCTACGAAGTCCATTGACATGTGGCTGTGGGTCAAAAATGGGGTAACCCCAAAATGGAACCCTGGTATATAAATGGAACCAAGGACCAAAACTTGTGGTCTCCTGGTGGTTTATTTTTGAACCCATGTATTGCTTGGTTGAACCTAAGATCAGGAGTCCATGATTTGCCCCATTCATGTTTTTTCCAGAGTAGTACTTGGATAGTTGTCTTCTGAAGCGAATTCCTCAAGATGCGAGTATCATGTTGGACCTTGTGGCTTCCCCGTGTGCCGCCTGCACTTATCTGGGGGTGAAAGCGATAGTTTGTGCATCCCTCAAATGGAAACTGAGGGACGTGCACGGCTGAGCAACAAGCAAAGAAGCCGGACAGCCCTGAAGTGGTTGCTGGGGTGCAGGAGTGGCAGATTCCCCATGTTCGGGATGCGCCCGGGGAGCGTTCCATACCCTTTTCTCGGTGAGCGCCCTTTTGGTTGGCTTCTCGCATTGCCAGAGCACCTATGTTTGACCAGGTCATGATTGCATTGAGCTCCTGCAAGCCTCAAGCGCGTCAAGCCTCGTCCATCAGATAGCCATGTCCAGCAGCTATTTGCCAACCCTGCTGTCTCGCAGGAGGCTGGCAGTGGGGCAATATATAATATACCCAAAGTTGTTCCTCAGTTGCCCAATGCAAATCGGCCTTTGGACCTTTTGGTTTTCCCATTTTGGTCCATAAACTAGTCATGGGACCAAAAGTTTAACCTTTTACTTCCAGGTCCCTAACGGGCAAGTGAGAATCTGTACGCCACGTTTTTCCCCTCTCAAGTTGGCAGCAAAGCTTGGCAGCAAAGCTTGGTACAGAGGCACTGACTTTCAATCTGGGCTGTGTAATCTGATTTGTTGTTGTTGTTGTTTTTTTGTACTGGATTTGTTTGCTGGACCTGTGACTCTCCATTTGTTTAATCTGCTCTTTAGTTGTGTTTCCGTACTGGATTTTGCTTGCTGGCTGACTTGAGCAAGGCATGTTATGACCCCATTTGATTCGGGTAGCTCTGAGGAGTTTGTTTGCATCAAGGAAAAGAAACGACATCGGAGGTTTAGACAGGAAAAGGGGGGCAGTTGCGCGTGTTATTTTTGGATCACGGAAAGGCAAGAAGGCAAAAGGCAAGATCTGGTTTTGGTGTGGCATCCACTACCTGCGATGTGCAGAGCAAGCCACCTTTGAAGCCCCCAGGGCATGGTGAACATGGTGAGGCACCTCTCATGCCTGCTATGCATGTCGCGGTCCCTGGAACCCATGGCCTTGTAGGCAAATGTGAAGCGCGCAGTGCACTTCAGGAACAGACGACCAAGAACTTCTGAATTCCATGTTTTTGCTTGGGAATGCATCTTGCACCGGGAATGCAGTCCTCCTCATGTTTGTCTACTGAAGATCACAGAGCAACTGCGTGATGTAGTGGACATGACTGTGCATGCTAACCTTGGAAGAACTCGAGCTTGTTTCCATAGACGAGATTGTGCTTTACGCTTTAGGGGTTCTTTGCCTGGCAGCCTGGCATTCATGCCATAATTTTGCACTTTTTTGATGGTGCGATAGCCACAGAAATGAGAAGTGGAATGACCACGAGATGGACCAACCGTCCAACTGGTGGTTTCCTTTAAGGGGGACCAAAATCTCTAGCGGTTGATTCCCCATTCTTTTCAACCATCGTCCTGTTCAAAAACCGGCTGTTTCCCCTCGGGTTTCTGATGGTTTCCTGAAAAGAAGGATGCTTGGAAAGAATGGGGAAGGTAGCCCTAGAAAAACGGTTCATTCGCAAGCATTCCCTACCTATGGCACCAGCAAGCCTCGAAGTCGAGGGGCGCAGGCAGAAAGCGGAGCCAGCCTCCGACTCCAAGGCCAACGCGGCGAGCGCCGAGTCGAAGTCTGAGACGAAGCCAAAGGACAGTCGGAGGGGTTGCCCATGTCTTCTTCTCCAGAAGCGCTCGCGTTTTCCTTGTTCAGGGGCAAAGGGGGTTCCTTTGAAATGAAGCAAACATGTTTGACATGTTGGTGACGCAATGATGAGGCTTCCATCCTGTACAAGCAAGCAGTGGATGGAAAACTGCATTCGTTGTTTTGTTTGATGTAGAGAAGGCCGCGTGATTGGACACTTACAGCCCCCAGACTCTCAACGGGTTGGATATGCACCAACCGCAGCCCTGGGAAGTGACAACGTGGTGTCCTTTGATTTGGAACTGCAAAACTCCCTGGTGTCGCCCAAAAAGATGTTCGGGGTGAACATCCCGCGGTGAACATTCCGCGGTCCTTCTGCTGTCGAGACTTTGGTGCTGATCAAACTTGGGTGCCGTGGTTCTGCCCTGCGGAAGGGCCAGAGCCCCGGGCCAAAAGCAAACAGGGCAGCGGGCCAGCGAATTTTTCAAAGGTCAACAGGGCAGAAGCTGGAAACTGGGCTGTCCGTGTTCAGATCCCCTCAGAAAAGTGACGAACTGTGAGTGGGTTAAATGGACCCCCACTAAACCAACTAAGAACCCTAGAAACCTTAGGAACCGGACTGCTGGGAACCACCAAGGAAACAAGGAATTCAGCTCAGAAGCCCACAGTGTTGACTTGGAGAAGCCGCTAAGCTCCGACCGAATCTTTGGTGATTGGAAATGGGGCCCAGCCGGCTGGAAGCGTCCGACCTTCCCGCCGAAAAGGCTCCAATTGAGAATCGCTGAGAGTCGATTCCACGAATCTTAGTGGGGTACGCCCAAAACGGAGGGTTTTCCTCTTGGCTTCCTTGTCTAAACCAGCCTAAACAGGTTCATAAGGGTTCCCTCAATAACAGAAATGACCATGTAAACCGATGTAAAGCGTCATGGTTTTTGTGACATGAGTTTCTGCATATTTGTTTGCGCGCAAAACTGACAGCCAAGCATGGCAGGACAACTTCTGCCTATCGCCAAGAATAATAAAAACACGCTTATAGAATATGGTTTATTTGTTTGAGCCAAACACACGATGTCAGTATTGTTGATGGACACATGTCCTGCAGCAACTAGGAAGTGTGAAGTCTTCCAATTTGTGTGACAAACTCCCTACCAAGTGCTGATCAACAGTAGTAAAATGAGACCTTCCTAGATGCGTGAGGCAAGGTCGAGAATTAGGTGAGGAGTTTCCAGTTCGTCCGGTTGCCAGTGCCGAGTTCTGTCGACCATGGGTTTCAGATTATGGTGGTAGCTTTCGATTTCGGTTTTTTCCTACCACCGTTTCAAAAGGCAACACACAGGCCTTGTGTAGAACACTTAATCTACTTCAGACTGCCCTTTGGGACCAGGTCCATGACGTGCACTTTCAACTTAGCTTGTGGGAGTTGGTATGAAGTTGACGGCCTCTTGAGCGTCCCTGGGCTGGCCAGGCTTGCTGCACATGAAAGATTCGAGTGAAACATCCCATCAGCAGTACAGTCAAGGAGCCTAAGGAGCCAGTTTGGAATCTGTCATTCTGTTCATTGAATGTTTGACTAGCTTGTCGGCCTAAGCATCCGCATTCGAAGCCACCATGCAATTGATGGCCTCTGATGCAGGCTAGTAACAGTCACATGCTTGGTGTGATGTGTGCAGCGACATCAAACGCGTCCAGACGCAGGACATTCTGCAGCCCCGACAACTTCCAAAAGGGGCAAGGGTGCTCGCTTTTTTTTTAAGGCTCACCATGGCTCTAACCATGGTTCCTCAGGGTACCGTGGTTGCTCACTGCTTTATGTACTCTGCCCCTGCAAGTATCCTGTAGGAGGATGCCATTCAGCAGGTGGAGGAAGAGACCAACAAGCACCTTGGCGAATCGAATGTGGATTTGTCTCAAGGCCAAAAAGGATCCCAAACGAACTTTCCGGTTTCCCTTGGCTTAATCACGCGCTCAAAACCTTCGAGCGCCCTACCTGGCCAAGTTGGCAATCACAGCTACTGATTCAACATACTCTGAAATTAATGTGGTGCTGTCACCTTTAAGAATTCACCTGCAGTTTCATGCAGTTGTTGTCTTTATCACACTATCTCTATTGTTTGGAATCGTATTGTACTGCAATGCAACGGATGGAGAGAGGGAAGCAAGCCATCAATCTCCGTTGTAATGCCTATCTTATTTTCATTTCGTGTCATATCCCTTAATGTAATCATATTCACAAGCAAATACCAATAAAGATACAATACAATAAGGAAAAGAGAAGATCAGATAGATTAAGAAAGAAACAGATGGAGCCAAGCACATGAAAGAGAGATGATATAGGACCAGAGGGCGATACCATGATGATAAAGTTACAATAACAAAATGGTGGTTGTTTGTTCCACCTCTATCCGAATTTGCATGTCATCAGCAATTTGTTGTTGTTCATATTCCAGTAGTTCATTGCTTATATATGTGTTTCTATAGGATGCGTAACAATATTTGCTTTAGGATCTACAAGTATTAACCATCCTTGTGTTTTCTTCCAAATATTGTGTGTTCCAAAGGTAACCCAAAGGGACAGATGTATTAGTTGGTAAGGCCGATCGTTTTCTTCATCAGGATATGCTTTTTGGCAAGCTAAGCATCGATTGATAGGCAGGAAGCAAGCCAGCAAGTCCTTCTAAGAGGAAATCGAGCATGCATCAAGCAGTACCCTGAGTCCAAGATCGTAAGGAAATACAACAAATGCTCCGGGCTCTCGGTATGTTTAGCCCATGGCCTCTCGGGTTTGCCAGCGGCTTGAAAAGAGCAACCTCCCTTTGCGTTTTCGGCCGCCTAAAGCCGTGTTTTCCCGGCTAAAGAGCGCTCAGGAGCAGCCTGCGCAGCAATCTCATGGGCTCCGCCATGAAGTCTTTGCTGCAACGCTTCGACAGCTCCGCTGCTTGACTGCTTGACAGTTTTGGGGGCAGATGTCGACATCATAGGTGTTCTTTCGATCCGCTAGTTTGGTTAGAAATATGGGTTCCGCTGGTGTAGATAAGTTTTGTGCTCCGTTTACATCCAGCTTTCAGA